CCAGACGCATGACAGTTGCCGCAAGGATACTTGTCCCGGAAAGATCAATCCGCGGACATGGGAATATTGATGTCTCATGCATGAAGCATGATAGACGTATAGGTTCCAATGACTCAACTCCCGAAGTGGAGATTAAAATCCAAGCTCTATAATGCTCAAGAGGAGGTTATGATCCACATTCTCTAAATTATAACTATCTTGGAAGAGATAGTGTAATGCCCTTGAAGAGGCAATGGATATCCCAAAAGAAATGAAAAGTTTTTATGCATGCGCATGCACATGAGAATATGGGATCACAAATTGATGATAACCAATGGTAATTTTGGTTTTTACAAGTAGCTACTAAATTCATCAATGAGCTGTGGTGATATTGAGTCCCGTTCTTTTTCCATCAACGAAATTATGGGCCAAAATGGAAATAGGCAATTCCATTACAATTTTGTAAAAACGTGGAAAAATAGACCTATATACTTGGATACAATACAAATAGCCAAAAGATGTTGAACCTAGAAGGTTACATATGGGCATTTGTAATATTGTGAAATACACTCACATGATATGACACAAGGTTGTAAAGGAGTTCATATGAATGGAGAATTATATACGAAGGGTTATGAGTCGCCCACATCATATCTCCATGAGTAAATCCCTCAAATATACATGGAAGCGAATTGCTCTGTATAAATTCCAAAGGAAAATGTGTCATGAAGTATAGAAAATCTTTGAAGAATTTAAATTGCTTGAAGTAAGCCCTGGAAAGGTAAAGCATAAAGTATGTACTCAATACCAATGGATGGTATAAATTGCCTTAGTGAGTACTTTCATTATGGTATTGTTGCAACATACTAAAATCTCTTGCAAGAGTTGATGATATTAAATTGGGACTCCTGAAGAGTCAAGAAAGATTATAAAGTGTTGAGAGAAATATTGTCTCAAACTGCAGAATCGAACAATATGCCAACACGAATCTTATCCATGATGTTTATGACATTAAAGAATCATATGGATTGAAGATTATAAGTTAAATACTCAAATGATTTAGACACTAAGAATGATCATTTATCTTCGCGAAGGTAAGGATAAATTGATACTTGGTCCAGAAGTACCACATCTTAGTGAAATATATGCTTTATTGTATTTAACACAATACACTGAATGAAATAAAGCTTATATATTAATATCTCCGAGAAATTACATACACATGAGTTAAAACAAACAAACAGAAGGGAACCTTCACAAAGGTTACTCATGTGAAGCCTCAGTACTCGGAAGTACCCCAGAAGGGGAAGACACCAGAAGTTGATTATTTGGAGTCTCAATACTTGGTGGAACTCCAGACAGCTAAGATAATGGATGTCTTTGGAATAAAGACTCGAACCCCCAATTGTCATTTTGAGTCCGACCTTCGGATTCTAGTAGCTGGTCGAGCTTTTTTTTCATGCTCGTAGAGTAATTATTTGCAAGCATGTGTAACACTCTATTATCATGCTTGAGCCCTTTAATCTCTTGTTTAAGACTTGCAACCTCAGCCATTAATGATTCAACTTGGTGAGTTCGAGCAAGCAGGCGCTGGCCCATATTGGATACAGAGCCCGCACATTGAACACTGAGAGCCAATGAGTCTTGAACGGCCGCCTCATCAGACCGGTTTGAAAGGATTTTGTTGTCCTTTGGAGTGAGAAGATTCATGGCTACCACTGTAGCAATTATGTTATTCTTCATCACAGAGTCCACAACCGTAAGAGGACCATTAGAAGATGAGAAGGACGGGCGCCATATGTTATCTTGACGCTGCTCATCTGTATCAATTTTGAGACTCAAATCTAAGCAAATGTTAGATGGGCAAGCCATTTTCAGAAATGATGAAGGAAGTCAGATAAAATCTCAGAAGTGCAAGAAAGGGAAATTTCTGCAGGCAACAATTTTCTGAGTGTTTCTCAACAAAATTGATATCTCTATAAAAGGAGGGGCAACAGGACCACTTATTCAAAAATCGAAGAGACACCGATTTTCGAATTTCAAAAGCTGGATTTCCCTGCATAACGTCTGTCAACATTTCTTAGACGCAATCTCAGCTCTTGGATATCACGTGCAACTTTGTCAAAGATCTCTGATAAAGTTGAAAACGCGTGAATCTTACTGTTCTAATTACACCACAGTTGCTGACAAGAGTAAAGGCACAACACTACTACCTGATATTGGGAAATCCATATATATATGTCAACCTCTATCCTCCATGGCAAGGCAGAACTGAAAAATATCTAACTCTTCCTCATCTCCGAGAATGCATCTTTCACAAAGTATCTCGAAATACTCAGTTTTCTTCCTCTCCGAGAATACCTCTACAAACAAGTCACACCAGAGCAAGAGTATCTCATATCATCAGGGACGAGAGCAAGAGTATCTCATATCATGTAATCTCCCTGTCCTTTCTTTTGTCCTTGTTCTTACCTGCCAAGACAAGGACAGAGAAAGCAATATGTCGGAACCTCCACTCAAACTTTCGCTGCCACCAAGAAGTGATGGTCCATTCAAATGCAAGGTTTGCATTCCACTCCTATATTAGGGGACAAATACTACAAGAGAAGATGCCAAACCTGCTTAAGGAAAATACCACTTCTGCAAGGAAAGCAAGTAAGGCAAGTGAAAATGATACATTGAAGCATGTGGAGATAAGCACAACAAACACATGTCAGTTCATCCCCGACAAAGTCTAAGATCACTTGTCACGTGAAGCTCCTCATGGTCAATTTCATTCAAGATCAAGCCTAGACGGCCTTTGAAGAAATCACAAATCCGATTCAAGATCAAGTGTCCACCACCCTTGAATCAACTTCAGCTCCAAATAAAATAGGTAAATTCAGACCTTTGGAGGAAGTTTAGCAGAAGGTCATCCAACCCAGTTTAAGAACAAGCATGTGGAAAGTTAACAACAAGTGAAACACCTCATTCGGCAACTATCACCGCTAAGAGACTAAAGCAGCAGGATCAATGATCAGCCTAAAGAATTTGAAATCAGGGGGAGATACTCATCAAGGGGGAGCATCCAAAAGTAGATCAAGATTTTAACGAGGCAACTAATGTTGATATGTGGGCATCCAAGGGGGAGTGTTGAAAATACTAGTGGGTAATGAATGCCCACAGTATTGAATACCTGCCACAACATTGAAAACATTGCCAAAGTGTTGAAAACCTTGGCAGAATATTGATATGTGGAGATCATTTGTCAAAGGTGTGGTGTAAATATTCAAAATGTAATAATACGGAGTTGCTCTATAAATAGAGCACTCCGACTACTATCAATACATACATAGCACATAGAGAAGGAGATGAGGGAAGAGAAACAGAGGAAGAGGAGAGGAGGGAATAAATAGAGTTATCTTTGTACTCCTATTATTCCAAATTATAATGAAAGCATCACTGCTGCCCGAGGACGTACTCCAGTCACACTGACTGTAGAAGAACTTCGTAAATTTTGTGTCTTGTTTTATTTATTCCACTGTACACACATCGTCAGTTTTACAACACACTCAAGATTTTCAATTATTTTTCTCTCATGCGTACACAAGTTGAGCATAGCGACACACATCAAAAAAACCTGCTTCTGACGGAGACTAATGGTTAATTAGGTCACAACACAACCAACTAGCTAGTGGGAGGAGAATTGGAGTCTCTGTCAAGAAACAGGCAGTGTTCAAATCAATGGAGAGGCAGATATATCTACGGTTGCATATTGTGCAAGCATGGTTAGGGAGTGAACATATTCCTTTCCTCTAGGGAATTAATCATGTATACAGATATAGCTATCTGTCGATGAATCAAATTCTGATAACGACTAAGGTGACATGCATATGAATTCTTCTAATTGGACTGACATATGCATGAAAAGATTAGAGATTTTAAACGACTACATGAACACACAGTGTAGGACTCAAAATTATTTCAAAACGAAATAATAAAAAAAGGGAGAGAAATTGGCAAACATCATAACCCTAGATTTATATACTAATCTCATAACCCTAGATTTATATACTATTCTTCTATATATGTGGATGCTTCCACTGCCTTGTATATGTAGTGCATGAGAAAACTACGTACCTTCTGATCTCCTAATCACAATCTTTTTGTTCCTAGCTAAGCTTATTATCTTTTTAAATTCTAATTAGGGCACACTTATCTTTACATATCCTCAATTATTTCAAGTAAATATGTTGATTATATAATACTTACGCATTAATGCTAAGCTCATACGTCAAATTTCACCGAATCTATCTACCAAATGCTATAGACTCATTTGTCAAAGTGTTGATAGCTAACTCGTATCAATAATGCTAGCCTCGTCAAATTTATCTACCAAATTTATTTACCAAAATATTATGTTTGTATACGTATTAGAGCCATCTTTGGACAATGTAAAGTTCTACTAATTGCAAGCGTATTTTATTTCTTGTCAACTATAATGACTGTGAATATGATTCATTAGAAATAATAGAGACCAGATTCTTAAGCAAATTGAGAGACAATATGAGTGGAAATTTCCTGGCAAAATCATGGCCAACAACAAAAATTAAGTGATATGCTCCGTCCATTAAGGTATTACAGAAGATTAGGGAAGATGGCAAGAATTTGTGCCAAAGTTATGCACACGAAAAGCTAATAGGATTTAGCATTTCATACTTTAATTATTCAAGTTGGAAGTTAATCATTCGTGCCTAAGCACATGCTCATTTTTGGTACAATTCAGTTTTGATTGCAAGCTCCATGCGCATTTGTTGTTAGATCGATGGGTTCACCCTTACCCTTATATGACAGGGTATAGATTAATCATAATCCTGTAGTCGTTAAATCATATTAGGGTCTAAATTAACCATAATCCCCTGAGTGGTGTCCGATGAGATGGAATTTCGCAGCGAAGATGGACCCCTGAATCAAAAGGTCTTGGAGTACAGGATAGTTTGCAGAGAGTACTAAGATGGTAGAACAATGCAAGGACTCAAGAATTCAAGAAAGGGGCAAAACATACATGTGAATTTTATTCATCAAATGCATATTTTTCTTTTCAGTAACCAGCTTCAAGCTCACAATGCAGCAAATCAATAAAACATCATCAAAGACGAAGAAAAATAATGAGAAATTTGAAAACTCGAGAAACAGAAAACATCGCCAAATTACAACTTCAAACCTATACATGCTTTTCTATGTTACAGAATGTGCAAGTGCAGGAGAGCAGAAAGAAATGGAGTGAAAGTGGAGAATTTTTCCTTTTTTTTCCTCTCTTTTTTTTTTTTTTTTTTTTTTTTTTTTTTTTTTTTTTTTTTTTTTTTTTTTTTGTTGGTGGATAAATCTTCCCTTGTTTTTTCCTTCAAAGTTTGAAACTTAACGCACCCCACCTCTTTGTCCCCTCTTTCCTTGTCTTCTTCGAGGTCGAGTTTGAGTCAATGAGGTTTTCCAGTGACTTTGCCTTTCTGTCTCGGGTCCTACCGGCTTCTTTCAGAAGCTCGGATAGCCTTCTCTTCTCATCTGCAAAATCCGGGTTTGCAATTCCAAGCTTTTCTTCTCGCAATTTAAGAACGTACTCCAGAATTTCAATTGCATCTTCAACTCTGAAATAGAATCCAGAATAGAATTCGTTAAAAACTTCGTATTTGAGTCATAATAATCAAGTTCAACTCTGAAACAGAATCCAGACAGTGTACCAGAACCGGCTACAATTATCGGTACAGCATTCTCCGTAAACACTAAACACACAGTGAATTTTGATTAATACATAAAAGCAAAACAGGAACAAAAAATCTGTTGCCAGACTCCTTGTAGGACATGTGGGGGACCTCACAACTAGTTGCAATTTTAGTGGACATTCAAGTTTGCTGGCTACAAGGGTCGTAAACTTTTCTGATTATTAAGGAGATGGGCCGCAAAGGGCTAAGCCATATAGAAAACAATGGTTTTTGCACAGATAGTTGAAGCAAATGAGAAAGATGGTACTATATTGAGGAAAAAATGTATCAGAGGACTCAACATATTACCTCCCCATAGCATCATAGGTTGCTGCAAGATTGCTATATACTCCAAGACTATCCTGATGACAAGGACCACATTCTTGTTCTAATATCCGTCTCGCTTCTTCAAACAACTCAGCAGCCTCATCTATCTTGAACAATTGAACACAAGCCAAACCCATCTGGTTCAATACAACCCCAAAGAAGGGCGACTTCTCTCCACTAGCTCTAAGTTTTGTTACAGCGCTTTCAAAAGAGTTCCTTGCTTCTTCATATCTCCCGAGCATGCAAAACATCACTCCCATCCGTGCTTCTATTCCAGCAATTGTGCTTTGCTGTCCTGGTTTACCCTCTAACAACTTCATCGACTTCTGCAATAACTTAAGTGCCTCCTCAGGCTCATCCATTGACTCGTAAATGGCTGAAATTTCAGTCAATCCACCAGAAATCTCTTCTGCCGTTGTTCCAGGCACAGGTTTCACATAAATCCTCAGGGCATTCTCACAGTATGATTTGGACTCTCGGAGCTTTCCAGTCCTATGATATAGGTCAGCAAGGCGTACAAAGACAGAGGCAACAGAAGGGTGGTTATCACCCCTTGATGACTTTAAAACGGTGAGTGCCTTCTGATAGGAGAAGACAGCCTCATCGAAGCGACAAAGAGACATATAAATGTTACCTATGCTGACATCAATAGCAGCAACCTCATTTTCTAGCCCATTTGCAATCATTGCCATGCTGGCGAGGACAAGTTGCTCAAGTGCTGATTCATAATCTCCCTTCGACTCGCATATGAGAGCCATCAGCCGGCGGTCAGCTGACTCTTCAAGAGATGCTGGTTCACTATGAGCATGGTGAATTTCAAGAGTTTTCTTGCACAATTCTTCTGCTCTTTCAAACTGCATTGCTTGGACATGCGCCTCAGCTAAATATCTGCATATCCAACACCAGTTCACTTAAATAAGGATACTCCAACTTTCTTTCAAACCATAACTAGAACAACCAATCCTGTGGCAGTTAACGGTTAATCTACGTACTAATGTATCCCAGATGCTTCAACCTAAGCCTTTCGGGAAAAGAAAGACAGTTCTGTCGCGCCAAGTTCAGCTCATTTTTACATCAACATCCCACATTACATGCAAATTTATGCAAGGTTCATCAATGTGGACATTGAGTTTCACAAACATTGACACCAATGTCACTTAGGCAACGAACTTGACAATATCCGAACCTCAAGTTACAATCAACCGATCAGTTAAAATGCTCGAATTTTCCCTTTTCGAGTAAGTTTACAATCCTCATTTTCTTTCCGTTTGGTTTGGTCAATTTGATTGTGTTTTACAACTAAAGGGCCAAACTTTCAGCCGGCTTAATAAACTACTCACATTAAACATTACCAAATTCTCCAAATTTAGCTATGCAATTATAGAATCTCAAACAACCATTAAATCTGATCCCAATAAACCATGCACGCAAAACCACAATATCTGAAAAAATGAAATAAAAAAAAGCAGAGTAATCAGACCTGCAAGTCTCGCCAACTCTGAGATCAGTGTCGCCCAAGGCCTCGATCTGGATCTTCAATCCCTCCTCATAGCATTCAATGGACCGGTCCACCTGACCTAGCATTGAATACGTGTCCCCGAGCTGCATGTGCCCAGAGAACGCAGCGAGCGCGTGATCCGCACCTCTTCCGACCTCTGGCACCAGAATCGCCCGGTCCAGAACCGGAACCGCCTCCTCGAACCGGCCCAAGCTACAGTAAATCGCCGCCAGCACGTGCAAGCTCATGGCCAGGTCCAGGCTCGGCTCGCTGTCCACCGCGCACCGCTCGAACGATTTGGACGCCCTTACTGCGTACTCCAACGCCTTGTTCGGACCCTCGCCGGAGGCGATTGTGTCCCGGGCCAGCTTGAGCAGAAACGGGCCGAGATCCGGGTTGTCTAGGGAGGCATCGGCGAGAATAGTATCCGGGGAAGCGGGTTGGGGCTTTTTGGATCGGGCGGGCGAGGGTTTGGGTCGGGACGGGGACGGGGACGGCGGTTTTCTGGTGTGGGGGGAAGGGGTTCTGGAAACCGGGGCGGGTTCGGATTCTTGGGGCTGGGGCTCCGGGACGGCGATTCGGGGCGAGGCGGAGTCGGGCGGGGTTTTGACGGAGACTAAACCCGGCATCCTCGCTGAAGAAGAAGAAGCGATTGTGAAAAATGCCGAGAGAATTTCGGATTAGTTGGTTAATGAAAACAGGGGAGTGTGTTTAATTACGTGATTACGTGGGAGGTTATTAAGTTAATCATGGATTAGAACTCGCCACCATGCCCAACAAACTCAGAGACTGATGACTAATTAATTAATCTGGGACTGATGTGATTAGTGGTTTTAGAGAGAGAGAGAGAGAGAGAGAGAGAGAGGGAGGATTGGATGTTTGCCAGGGATGCAGATGAGATGTCTCTCTACTCTCTGCTGGCTAAAGTGCGAAGGTGGTAGTTGGTTTTCAGTTTTCGATTTAGAGCGGGGTGAAGTGGTAATTTGGAATTTGACTTTGACCTGCCGTGGCCATTTTTTATTCCAATAGACCTTTCTATGCATCTGAATACCGGGTAGTAACCTGTGGCGGACTCAGTATGGAATTATTGGTTGTTCTTGCATCCAATAATTTTAAAATTTTCATATATATTTGTTTGTATATTGTATTTGATTTTTATAAAAAGCTAAGACAAACTAAATTACAATTTTCTCTTCCTACTTTTTCTATTTTCTTCTATCATATTTGTCTTACTTTTCTCTTTTCTTGTATGAAATAATTTAGTTGAAATGTTTTGGCAATCTTCAAAATTACTCCACAATATCATGGTCCACCCTCGATAAGCATCTACAAGTAATAGTAGTTGTGATATATGTTGGCATAAACTTTTGACATATGTTGAAAGGAATTGGCAGTTGCCTACTAGGTGCTCAATGAAATGGCACAATGAAACTTTTTGGTCGATATTATGATCTCATTATTTGAAAATCCTGACTACACCACTAGTAGTAGCCATATGGTTTTATACAAGTGTAGAAGAGTTTTTCTCAAATGTCTTGTCACTTGTATAATGATATATGACATATTCCGGGTATAACGAAAAATCTCTCGTTATTAGAGGCAAGTTAGTCCAATGATTGTACGGTTGTAGGTGACATGTGTCCTCACTTTATTGGTGTAAGGTGTAAACTATAAGGAGGCAAATTCTCTGCCCTTCCATTTTTCGTGCCCTCCTATTTTGTGTGGTCACGATTAAACCACGTCGATATTTTATATTGTTTTTTTTTTATAAAGATAATAAGAAAAAAATGAATAGTAATATAAAATGTTGATGTGGTTTAACCGTGATCACACAAACAGGAGGGTACGAGAGGGCACGGAAAGTGGGAAGGCAGAGAATCTGCCTCCAAACTATAAACCCATTTTCTTTTGTTTGTCAATAAATCTAAATCCTATGAAACTTATGGCTCCGCATGATTCTGTTCGGTTTGGTTCAATAGGGATGAAATCAAAATCGAAAAAAGTTTGATATGATTCAGTTTGCTTTTAAAGTGTGTACCGAGCTGATATCAGACTGTATGATTTCGGTTCGATTCGACATGAAATAGGGTTGATTTGATTTTGTGCTTCAATTATAGGCCCATTTTTTCTTTCTTTTTTATTAAAAAGGTTTACTTTTTCAATTTCTTGTATGTAGCCTATCTGAATTGGATGGAGCTGGCTTTTTTTCTTCTTGTATTTTTTCCACATGCAATTATGTTACCAACTTACTTCTTACCATAAAGAAATTTGTTTTGAGATTTCCTCAATAACCCTTCAAAATCCCAAGCCCAAGTATTCAACATCAAACTTTTAATTAAACAAAGTGCCTTATAAATTCAAAACCAAGTATAGCCAAACGAAATGCCTTATGGCATTAGTACACAAAATCCGAAAACAAACTCTACAAAATACAAATACATATACCATTTAATTATATTAGTCATTATAAACTTCACCAAAACAACCAAAACCACATAAAATGATAAAATTCAAACAATAATTACAACTAAGAAGCAAAATTAGAAACCTACCCAGATTCAATACTTTCGTAGAACTCTAGGTGGTCCATTGAAAGTGCATCAGTCCAAAGTAAATATATTATCACCCCTCAACCAATTTTGCATGCAAATTAATGTCTCCACCAATTTAGGAGTTAAAGAACTTCTAAAATCAAAAATTTCTCTCCTCCGGTGCTAAAAGCACTCTTCAATGCTACAGTACGGACTTGAATAGCAAATATGCCTTGCATTTCCTACTAATATAGGATACTTGCTACCATTAAGTCTTCCACCATGAGAGAATGACAAAATTGCCCTTGGTTTCCTTTTCAACCTTCTCCAAGGATCCAACAAATGAGTTCACCTCAACTTTAACCACTTGTTCCTCATTCTCTTCCACAATCAATTTAATCATGTAATCAATCATCTTTGACTGAGGCAACAATTGATGATATAGAAGAAGGCCTTATATGAGGTGTGGGGGTCTTCGTGTGCTTGCCCCCATCAACCATTGGAGCTTATTCCTCAAAAAGGGCGTGCATTACATCTATTATTTGCTTGGTTTTTATCTGGGCCTCAATTTCCAATACTTGCTTTCTAAGTAGACAAGTGACATGCCTTAACTTGAACCGTTGACCTAAAACAAGAGCAATCACTAGTAATAGGTTCAATTCAAGGTAGAAACCAAAATATTTGTCATATTTTGCTCTCATGTCATTGTCACATCAATAGTATCTTTGTTGGTGAACTGGTTTACATGTTGGGTGGAGGAACCAAATTCTTGCATTTGTGATCTTTATTTTTTTGACATCATGAAGGGTCGTATGAGACATGGGGACCAAAGAATAACTCACCCACAATGTCACCTCATAGAAAACTTGTAAAAACCTCATAAACACCTCCACATTTTCCCAATCTTCTCTGGTTGGTGGTCCAGCCCTTTTCTTCCCTCTAGTAAGACAAGCAATTACCACTTCATCTTCATTATTTCTTCCTCACTTTATTGAAGTATGGCATAAATAAACAATCATCATCAACCTATTGGGTTCCCGGGCATATTAAGGTTGGTTATAATTGATACAGTGACAAACAAAGATGGTTAACATACTAACTTAAGAGAATCCTTAGCCACGCATGTGCCACTAGATTGGATTATTCTTGTGCTCCCGATCTTCCTTTTCATGATTGATCATGTAAAGCTCCCACAGTGTTCAGTCTATAAGAATATCCATACTGATAAACTAGCAACAAATAATAGAGTGATTAACTTAAATGTACTAGCAATACCTCTCACTCAGTTCAAAATGGAGTGGATGACACTAAGGTGTTGTCGGCTTGAGATTTTTCTCTCTTTTTTTCTGTGGGAGAGAAAACTGATTGCACTCGCATTAGGGACATATGAGAGAACACATGGGTATTCGTAATACGCCACCATACAGGATTTTTATGTTATAGGCTTTCTTTAGTTAGGTGAGCTTCCCTGTGAGGCATAAGTGCAACAGCGGTGAGTCGTGGGTTGATTGGGCTGATTTGTAGGCCCAACGACTATCCACGTAGATTCGGCTACGCAGATCTGGCACGATCATAGTTTCACGAATTGAGAGTAGTGCAGCTCGTTGGAATTACTACATTGACCTGGACTGGGCTTTTAGCCGAGTTCTAGAGTATCGAATCTGATTAGCTATTGTGTCTGGATTTCGTTTGATATTATGATCTGGAGTATTGAAGTGGAGTCGGTCTGAATTTCGTGATCTGTAGCAAACTAAGGTGCGGCTGCAAATCTAATTCATGATGTGAATCACATAGCTTATCATGGGTCTAGGTCATAATTTCAACATCTAAAATAAAGGAAGTTTGGATTTTGGGCAATGCTAGGGAGACTAAATTTGCGAACTAAATAATGTGTCAACAATAGGAAGTAATCATGTTAATCAACAATTAAGTAATAATCTCATTATCAACAGCTACATCATTTAGTTTACAAAATTTAGTTTAAAAAAATTAGTCTCCCTAAAATTACCCTTGGATTTTTATAGAAATTGAACGAAAAACAAATCCAGAAATTAATAAAATTGAAAAAAAAATGGAAAATAGTAAAGCCAATTTTGTTCTCGTGTTGTATTTGTGCCTCAGTGTTCGTGGGTTGGAGATTTGCCTTTATATGGCTTGGGAAATGGTTGGAGAAGGACGGAGAAGAGACTACCACATGGGGAGGGAACATGGATGACAATGAACAAGAAAAAGAAAAAAATAATAATTGAAATTAGTTTGTGGTTGCAAGATATAAATGAATGGCCACATTATGTGGTCCACTGGCTCCAGCGAGAAAGACCCAGAGAGCATCTGGTAAAGAAGGTTGTGGACTTTTTTTCACATTGTTTTAAGATATTTTGATATTTGTCACTTAGTACTACGGTCTAGTGATATTCCTTTTAACTTGGAATTAGTTTGTGGCAACACAGAGAAGGAACATGGATGACAATGAACAAGAAAAAGAAAAAAAACAATTGAAATTAGTTTGTTGCTGCAAGATATGAATGAATGGCCACATTAAGTGGCCCGCTGGCTCTAGCAAGAAAGACCCAGAGAGGATCTGGTGAAGAAGGTTGTGGGCCTTTTTTTTTACCTTTTTTTAAGTTATTTTGATATTTTTCACTTAGTACTACGGTCTAGTAGTATTCTTTTTCACTTGAAAGTGAGATGTTTTAGATTCGATTCACGCCAAAAGTGAATTTGAACCACATTATTCTAGCTCATTGTAAGGCTAAACACACCCCTTATCATTTAGTGTAGTTAATATCGTTTGTTATAAAATTAAAATAAAAATTATTTTGATACTTATATTGATTTGGTTTGATAATTAATTTTTTATTTTCCACATCATTAAAAATGTAGGTCTTATATTTATCACATCATGTCCTCATGGTTAGTTTGAATTGAGAATGATGTATGACATTGGTACGAACCATGAGCCATTGTATGAAATTGTAAAAATTGAAAAACGTTGTATGAATTTGTAATTAGGCGAAAACATGAGGGGGCAAAATGTAATTATCATTTACAAAAATAAAAATTTACACTTTTAGTATTCTTGATTTTTTTTTTAAAGTGTCAATAATAATTTTATGTTTTTGTATAATTAATCGCGCATTTGTTAAAATTTTTCTAGTTGTAAGTACATCGAATATTTTTTTTTGTCGTAAGTTAGATATTATTATATACAAATAGAAAGGTTTACATCAGAAGTCAGATAATTAAACAACCATCCCATAAATGACCACCCCCTACACGCGTGACATAAAATGCTACAAGATGCGTA